CACCAATCTGATACTGTCCTATAGCAGAACTCCCAGGCTGCTGTATGCAAACTGTAAGGGGAGCTCTGCCCACTCAGGCTGACCCAAGACACTCATCCAACAGCGGACAATTTTCTCCTGAGCAGGTTTGCCACCCTGTGCAAAGCCAGAGGAGTGAGACTCAAACCAATTTCCTTCCTAAATCCTGTCCAAAACCCCCGAGATGATCCTTGAGCTCATGCTCTGCTGCAGTGGGAGATGGCCCAAGAGGCTGCAGCTGGGAAGAAGATGAAAGGGACTTCCCAAATGTTTATTGCTATGTCAGCCTCAGAAAGTCTGGTGTGCATCCAACACCAGCCACCACAGCATGTGCTGGTTAAAGACAAGGTCACTACCTTGGTCCCAGGTTTTTCCTAAACCGAGCCATGCCCAGGTGGATTTCCAGCCAAAGCAATCAAGCAGAGATAACGTAAAGCAAATTTGAAATGTCCACCATGAGAAACGTAAGTGGAGAATTGAAAGCTGCTCATTGACCTGAACAGCCCAGTGCTGGGAGAGCCATTTGATGCCTCCATTTCTCCAAGCCTACAAGAGTTCTGGAAAGGGCTTTTGACTCCCATGTTCTTCGTTGAGCCCCACACAGAAGCGCACCCTCCTGGTAAGCTTTCCTTGAGAAAATAACACCCCAAGGTCCTCTGCAGAAAGATAAGGTGTTGCAGGAGTATGTGAAACCATTCTGATTGTAGAAGGGATAACACAAAGCAACTTCCTTCTCTGGGTCTCCTGTCCTTGTGCTGCTATCCAGCAATTCGTAACAATAGAGAAAACTTCAGAAAGCAAAATGGACACGGGGGAATGGCTTTAACCTGCCAGAGGGGAGACTGAGATGAGCTCTTAGGCAGAAGCTCTTCCCTGTGAGGGTGCCGAGGCGCTGGCACAGGGTGCCCAGAGAAGCTGTGGCTGCCCCATCCCTGGCAGTGTTCAAGGCCAGGTTGGACACAGGGGCTTGGAGCAAGCTGCTCCAGTGGAAGGGGTCCCTGCCCGTGGCAGGGGCTGGAGCTGGATGAGCTTTAAGGTCCCTTCCAACCCAAACCAGATTGTATGATTCCATGATCTCATGCCACTGTCCCATCCCACAGTAAGGGTGGCTGAGTGCATGCCCTGGGTGCCCTCAAGAGCTGACTGCCGCAGGTCATGCAGACCTCCTAGCCACCAGCATATTGCTCACCAAGCACCACAGCTGCCTTGGGAAGGGATGGAAGCAAAAGCCTCAGAAGAAGCCCAGAGGTGGATACCTGCCACTTCAGCACTGTGCAGTCACAAACTTCTGGAAGCTTCCACAAACATAGTGGGGCATTATTTTCACTGACAGATAAAGAAAAGGCAGTCGGTTCAACCTGTGCTCTATTCCTGATCTTAGCTCCTCCACGTATCACCAGCCTTGTTTCTACAGCATTCACAACAGCAGCTCTTGTACAATTCCATTAGATCGGTGCAGTTGTTATTTATGCCATGAGGACTGCATTGCACTCCAGGGCAGAGGGAAAAGATGGTGGTGGGGTCTGTTTAGATTTACAAAACGGAATAGATTCCCCATTTTCAACCAGTTGTATTATTGACCATGGTTTTACTTACTGGCAGATGAAAAATGATTGTGAGATGATCTAGAGCTGACTGCACAGCACTTGATTTCAAAGGCACTTCAAGTAATCAATCTGACAATGGGCTTCAAGGACTGCCACGCAGGCCTGCTACGTGCACACTTCATTTGCTCTCTCAGGATGCTGAGTGGTGAGCAACTCACTGCTAAAATAAACACTGAAGTTCATTTCATAAGGGGGGGTTGACATAGCTGCAGCTCTCATGTAGCTCATCCACATCAGCTGCTGTCATTGTGTTGCTCACCTGCATGCGCTGCCTGCCTCGCTTTTAATAGTGTAGCACAGCAAAGAGGGGATTTTATTCATTATCATCAACTCTTACCTAATTAACTGCAAACACAAGACATCGGCATAGGCACTTGGGTAGTATGGGCAGAGTCACAGTAGTAGGCTCAGTAGACCATCACAACATACATGCCATGGACACGATATACAGTGTCTACCTCTAAAACTCATTGTCTAGCTAGACTGCAAAGTGGAACTGGTCCCAGATTCAAATTGCATTGAAATTCCTATGGCAATAATGAAGTTGTTTGATAAAATTACTCTGGAAGTATTTCTTGCAAATATTATTCAGATTCATGAGAAATATAATAAAAAAAAAACACAAAAAAGGAGAACCACCTGACAGCTCTTGGCAGCTTTGCCATTAAATGCATAATTAAATCCCAAGTAAATCTAGCCCCTAGTCTGGATTCCCAGCATGAAGAAACCAGCTGCTGGAAGAAGAAGTCTCCAGCACTAATCCCTTTCCTAACACAACCACCACACAACTCCCTAAGAGAGCAAGGGATGGGCTCAGGGCCATGCCCCGGTTACCTGCCCCAGGCTCTTCTTTCCCCCAGGAGGGTCCAGCTCAGGGACCCTGTTCCAACACTGGCACAGCTTAATTCAGAAGGTTGCTCTGAAAACACCTTATGAGAGAGAGAGGACAGGGAAGCATCTTGCTGAGGAAGCAGTGACAAGGGCACAATGTGGCTAAGTCAGTGCAGAGATGAAGTTTTCAAAAGTTTGGAAAAAAAACCTTTTTTCCTCCCCTCTCCCATGAAAATGGCTCCTCTCTCAAAGCAGAAAACATGCAGGATGCTGGTTTGTGTCCCAAGCTGTGATGCAGCTTCTGTTTGCAGAGACTCCCTCCATCCATCTCCAGCTGATCCTGCTGCTCTGGACAAAATCTGCCTGTTATCTTGGAGACTACTCTAAAACAACATCACCAGAGCTATTAGGAAAGCTGCTGCAAGTTATGCAAGTTGCCAATAGCTCCTTCACAGTAGCCAAGGACAACAAGGAGGAGGGAAACCGCAGCTGTGCTCCTACCAAAGGCTATATCTATCCCCTGTGCCAGCTGCCTGTGGATAGAGGACTGCGCCCAACCATGAGCACACTGGAGGATCCTGGACACAAAGGCTGCTGCTTCACAACATGTGATGGAACACAGGAGGTAGGGAAGGGGAAAGCTATTTGTTCTTCATCTCCAACTCAGACTCTCTGCTAATGTATTTAAGCAACAGTGGAGAAGAACAAAAAGGGAGGAAAAATCCCCAGCAGGTCAGCTAGTTTATTGCCATAGCACATCAGCTGCTTTCCCCCTTCTATTCCCTCCTATCTGGTCCAGCAAATATGGTGCACTACACAAACTCCAGCAAAGGATGGTAAGGGCTCTCAAGAGGTCATGCATCCTCTGTGCTCACCCAAATCCTGGATGAAGCTCACCTAGGGCAGTGTTTGTAAGCTGGATTCATATCTTCCTAAGGAAAGGTATTAAAGAGGGCATGAAATGCTCAAACTGACCGTCATGGTTTAAGATCAGTCAGCCACGCAGCTCGCTCATTCGTTCCCCCCCCCCCCTTCCTCGCCCCCCACTCCCAGAGGGATGGGGAGGAGAATCAAAAGAGTGTAACTCCCACGGTCTGAGATAAGAGCAGTCCGGTAACTAAGGTATAACAGAAACCACTGCTGCTACCACCAATAATAATAATGATAAGGGAAATAACAAGGGAAGAGAATACAACCGCTCACCACCTGCCGACAGATACCCAGCACGACCGAGCAGTGACCCCACCCTCCCAGGTAACTGCCCCCAGTTTATATACTGGTCATGACGTGCTGTGGTATGGAATACCTCTTTGCCTAGTTTGGGTCAGGTGTCCTGTCTCTGCTTCCTCCTGGCTTCCCCTCCTCCCTGGCAGAGCATGAGGCTCAGACTAAACATTACTGAGCAGTAACTAAAACCATCGGTGTTATCAGCACTGCTCCCAGGCCGAAAGTCAAAACCACAGCACTGCACCAGCTACTAAGAAGGAGAAAACTGGCTGCTACTGCTGAACCCAGAACACATGTCAAACCTCTCCTCCTCCAGGTGACTTCAACATTCCCTGGGAAAATGTTAGAAAATTCACAACCTCTTAATGGTACAAGGGAAAAGGCCCTGTCAAGAGTACAAACCAGGGCCCCGTTCAATTGTCAGGCAGTCGAGTGCCCTGAGTAAACAGCAAACAATGAACACAACACGTGCTCACCTAGAAGAGAGATCTAGCCCTCGGCTGGCCTGCAGCTCCTGGCTTGCTACCTACCATCAGTGTGGTAATAGGCACATAATACTAAAGGCTCCTGAAATTCCTGCTGGTTTAAGTCCCCCAGGGTACAGCTGCTTTGCACAGTGCTTTGTATTTTAAGCATCTCCTTCTCCAGTTGTTATCCTCTCTTCTCCTGTCCTTTGAAATACACAAATTCAATTCAAAGCAGTTATTTAACACAGATGAAACAAGACTGAACACAACTGTCAAGAACTATATACTGTGCTGCAGGACTTGGCTGGGAACTCTGTGCATGTATTGGAAAGCAGCTTAGAAAGACAGAGGGAAAACGACAGCTACCAGAATTGTTCTCTACTGCCCCCAAAAGAAAAGGGGCACACGCAAACAGTTCCTGCTGCGGAATTACGGCCCAACGAGAGCCTGTCAAGCTCACAGGCCAGAGGCCACTACTGCCTGCTCAAGAGGCCTTTGAAAGCAGCTCACGAGCGCAGGCTCCCCCTTCAGCCTCCAAAAAGCACTGCTACGGCCAGAAATAACCTCCTGCATTAGTAACAAACAGAATTCTTTCTTTCTGTACCTAGAATACATAAATAGACAATAATTTATTTTTATTAAAGTAGCTACATATATTTTTGTGAAGAAGCTATTTGCAGAATATTTTTTTCTAAGTCGGCAAGTACTGTTCTATCCAGTGAAAGAAATCTTTCAGAAGGGTCCTTTAAAGTATTTAAATTCTCCAGCAGCCCATTAGGGAAGCCTAAGTCAGTTTTCACACTGCCAAGAGATCAGGTTTTAGACGCTCTGCATCTCTTTTTCTAAAGATGCCTTCCCGGGGGCAGAGAGCTGCCTCCGTGCCTCTGCTGCCGACACCCTCACCCACGGCTTCTTTGTGGCTGTCCTGGAGCGGCGCGGGGACGGGGCCGCTGCCTCGAGGTGAGAGCGGGCCTGGGGGCTCTGTGGCCTCCAGCAGCTCCTGGGGGTCTGGGGACAGGCTCGGGCTGGTGGCACACATAGGCTGAGGGTGCTGCTGCGTTCCTGGCATGGGGAGGAAGAGGGAAGATGGAGGGGTCTGACTGCAGCATGAGGAGAGGGCAGGAGCCACAGTGCTGTGTTGAGTGGGTCTCAGGCCCTTTGCTCTTGTCCACAGCTCCCTGCCTGCGGCTGCTGATGACAGCCCGCAGCATGGCAAGGGAACAGAGCCAGGAGCAGCTCCCAGGAAGAGGAAGAGGAAAAAGCAGCGGGTAAAGGAGGGAAACGACCCTTTTTAGGACTGTGCAGTGCCCAGCTGGGGCTGGTGGGGATTGTCACCTTGCTGCCTGCCTGAGCTGTGGCACAGCCTCCCATCATTGGTAAAGTCAGCTGGGTTAAGGGTGTCTTTTACCATATTTTGTCCCAGAAACCCTTACCCTGATGTGGGTTTTCAGAGAAGCTTGTGACAGAGCACTGGAACAAGTTGCCCAGGGGGGTTGTGGAGCCTCCTATGTTGGAGACATTCAAGGCCCGCCTGGACAAGTTCCTGTGTGATGTACTCTAGGTTATCCTGCTCTTGCAGGAGGGCTGGACTAGAGGATCTTTTGAGGTCCCTTCCAACCCTTAGGATTCTGTGATTCTGTGACTGTAGGGATGACCCAGAGCCGAGTTTCTCTCTCTCCCTGGTCTTCTCCAGCACATTTGTGCAGCCATGCATGGAAACTGCCACTGCTGTAAGCAGAGGCGAACTGGAGGAAAACAAGTGAAATAAAAATAAATAGTAATAATAGTGTGAACAAATATTGTTCAACCCCTCAGGTGTAGTTCAACAGAGCAAGCAAGTACCCGTAAGTGTAGTGCTGGGAAGCAGCCCTGAGCCCTGCCCTGAGCGTCCCGGCTCTGCTTCGCTTGGTCTCCTTCAGCTGCGCCCTGCACTGGAAGAACGAGGACGTGGTGGGCACCGTGCTGCAGGAGCAGGGTTCAGCCTTCAGGTGTGTCTGGCACGGGGGGGATGCTGGGCAGCATCCAAGCTGCCAGGGCTGCGCTGGCACCCGCGGCCCCTCAGGCACCTTGGTGGTCCCTGCCTGTGCCCTGTCCTGACAGTGTGCTGGTGCCTGGCAACATGCCCCCTTCCCACAGCAACCGGCTGTCCCCTCACCTCGATAGTCTCTACCACCTGCAATTGGTGGTAGAACTCCTTCAGGCATTGTGAGAAGCCCCTGTCTCTGCCAGCTTCACACAGGGTGAAGGTGCTCTGCAGGAATTTCATCTTGGCATCCTGCTGGGCAGCCTCCTTGACACCCAGGGGATGAACAATTGTATTGCGCATCACTTTTGTTTTCTGTACCCCTCCCCTCCCTCTGGGCTCTTCTCCGATCTCCCTGAGCCATTCCTCATGGATGCCAATGGTTGAGTTCTCACACCTGTGTTTCACCAATTATATGTTAGTCACTGAGGGTCTTCAAAACATGGATCCAATCATAATATGCCAAATCACTGTAAGTGCTTCAGCTCAACTAAGCAGACTGGGTTGCTGAGTTGCTAAGCAGACAATTCTACATCGAAGGCAATTCCTGATTTGTTTTAATGTTGACTCTGTAAGACATGCAACACTGCAGAACCTTTTGTTGTTGGAACAGGGACATGGATGTGAAGAGTTTGATGGAATGTGTTGTATGAGTCTCTGATTATGCTAATTCGATGTACGCACAGCTGAGAACCCTGGCTCAGCTTACCCAGCAATAGGAAATGAGCAATATCCTAAGAATAACTAGATGGTTGTCTTCACGGGGCATTACAGGTTGAGTCAAACACTGTTTAAAAGTATTGCACTTATGTATCCTTGTTAGGTTAATCATCGTAGCTATTAGGCTTGTTTATAGTTGTGTGATAAAACAGGTGAACAGAATAACCCATAATGCCTTGCTTGCACAAAGAAAAAGGGGGGAATTGTTGCAGAATGACTCTTAAGAGCAGGACCATAGAGTTCTGGAGGACTGTGCAAGCAAGGCAGGGGGTGGCCCCCACAGGTGGCCGGAGACCGGACCTGGGAGGAGAATGTGGAGGAAGCTGTGGGGGCTAACCAATACTGTTATGCCAAGAAGGAGTGGCTGAATACCACTCCTATATATGTGTGAACTGCGTCACAAATAAACTAGAAGTTGCTTATCACCCGTATTGGGTTGGCCTGTCTGCTTCTCCTCGCCGCTTACATCTGGGCTCCTCTCGGATCTCCCTGAGCCATTCCTCATGGATGCCAATGACCGCCCCACTGTGGTGGGGGGGACAGTGTGCCCAGCTGGGGTCCAGACCCACTGCTCCTCAGTCCCTCAGCCCCGGGGAGCGGCGGTCCTCTCGCACAGGCCTCCTGCTGCCTCACCACCCCAGGGCTTCCTCCCATTCTGCTGCTGCCAATGCCCACATTCCACCCTAGCTTTTCCTTGGTTCCCTTCCATGTGGAGGGATGGAGTTTTGGGTGGCTAAGAAAGGGCAGGTTGGCGTGTCGGTGGGGCTTATCTGGTGCTCACCATGTGTAGGTGATGCCCAGCAAGAGCTTTTTGTCCTGGCACACTGTTGTGGGAGGAGGCATTGGGTGTTTTAATTTTGGCTCTTCTATGCAGGCTATCTATGATGTAGTTCCTAGAAGTTCAGCTCACCCCCCTGGCTGCGGTAAGCACATGAGAACAGGACAGGGGCAGGAGATGGGTGGGTTGTCTTCTGCAGTGTGATTGCAGAAGAAAGTACCTGTTGGGCTCTTGGTTCTGGGACGCTCCATTCCACGTGGTCACTGGCACATCATGCTCCTTCTGGAGCTTCCTTTCAAAACCACAGCTTGTGCTACGTTTTGGCAATAGAATCCCCACACCTGCAGTCACACAAAGCCCACCAAGCGCATCCGAGGGAATGAAAAACATCTCCTCTATTAACAGGAGGCAAAAGTGCACAACGGGTGCTCTGGGGCATCCCCAGGTCTCGGGGAGCAACCGCTACTTCCTCTTGCTTTTCTTCTTGCTTTCGATCAAGTCCAGCCCTTGCTTCTTGATGGCTTCTCTGGTGAGGACAAGGCCACTGTGGTTGTCAGGGATATCAAAATCGTCTGGAGGAGAGAGCGGAGAGGAGCGGGCTGGGGAGGGTCTGTGGGGCTGCCTCTGCTGTGCCTGTGTCCCCAGGAGGAGCCGGCAGCTCCCGTAGGAGGAGGCCACTGGCAGAGCCAAGCCCTGGCTGTGAAGAAGATTCACAGCCAAGTGGTTCTGAAGACGAGGCTCTCCCCGCTTGCACCACAGCATCCCCCCTTGCTCCTGTGGTGCTTCTACGCTCCCCAAGCCACCATCTGCCTCCAGTCTCCCACATGCACACAGAAAACCAGCACTATGCTCAAAGGCCTGGAGCCAAGCGCGGTCAGCCCCAACGCCTGCAGCAACTCCTGGGTTGGGCTCTGCTGGGACAGTGGGAGATGGGCAAGGACAGCCAGAAATGCCAGGAGGCAGGGGCTGGCTGGGGCAGTTGCCGTGGGATGTGTCCCCTTTCCTACCTTGGAGCCCCACGCCCGTGTCCTCCAAGGAAACCTTCCGGTTCCGTGGATCGGCCATGAGGGTTTCCTCCAGCAGCTGCCTGACCTTCACAAAAGTCTGTGAAAGAGAGGCTGTGTTCATAGCTGAAGGGGAGGCGGGTGTTACAAGCAAAGGGGTGCCCAAGCTCCATGTGCCCCTGGTAGGGAACACCCCACAGAGCCCGGGGCCACCTGGGCCTGAGCTGCTCCGTGGCTCTTCCCTCGAGCACCTCCATCCTCCAGCTGGGAGGATGGCTTGGCACGGGCCACCCGGGAAAGCCTGTGCGGGTCCCCAAAGAGCGCAGCAGGGATGGAGCCGCCGTGCACCTCATCATCCTCGCTGTGGCTGGAGGGGGGCAGGTCAGCCACCCGCTGCACCAGGTACTGCAGCTTCTGCTCACACTGCCGGAGCTTCTCGTCCACTGCCATGGCCTTGACAGGATGCTCCTGGAGTCAGAGAGGGAACAGCCTTGGTGGGGAGAACGAGCCCCTTGGGGTGATGGTCGCTGCACCAAGTGTCACCACACGGTGCCGTTGCAGCACCAAGCAGAGCCTGGGCTCTGCTCAGCCCAGCGTTGGGCGGGTACCTGGCCAGGCACGGTGATGCCCCGCAGCCGGACGAAGAGGTTGTCAAGTGCGTTTTCAAAGTCCAGCAGCGTCTCCTGGCTCCTCAGCAGCTGGGCTCGCCCCTGTTCCAGCCGAGCCTCTTCCCGCTGCAGCCTCGTCCTCAGCTCCTCCACCAGCCCCCTGGAGCCAACCACGGTCACATCCATACAACGGCACAGGGGTGCAGACACCCCAAAGCTGTTGCAAAAGCTGCTGCCCAGCTTCTCCCCTGCCCCCAAGCGCAGGGCAGAGATGCTGCCTGCAACTCAACCCCACGCTGCTGCTGCTCCCACTTCCCATGCCAGGCAAGGAGCAAGGCTCCTCCTGCTGCCAGCGCAGGAGCTTTGCGTGCTCTGCCAGCACCAGAGCTGGGGCAGCACTCTGCTCAGAAAGCCTCCCAGTGCGGGAGGGGTGGGCAGCCGCAGGGTGACAAAGGAAGGGCTGCCCTCTTGGGACACCTGCCATGCACGTGTCCCCCTGCCCCTAAGGGTGCCGGCCCCTTTGGCATGAGTGTCCGGAGGCCAGCAGCACCTGCTTGTGTCTGGGGGCCGGCGAAACTTCAGCTCATCGCGCTGCATCTCCAGCTCCTTCACTGCCTTCTCCAGCTCCTGCTTCTTCTCCTTGCACCTTGTGAGGTACTGCTCCATTTCCAGCAGGGACTTCTGCTGTGCCTGGAGCCTGATGGGGATGTCCTGGCCGGGGGAGAGCACAGGGACTCAGCCCAGGGCACTCCTGCAGGGTACAGGATCTGGGCCGTGCTCCTGGGGAGGTTTCTGCACCAGGAACCACAGGAAGCACTGCAAGTTCATGGCGTGGAGCAAAGCAGTTCCAGCCCTGCCTGTACAAGAGGGGCCCTGGGGGGCTCTGGGGACAGAGGAGAGCAGATAACCCTGCCATGGAACAAGGTGAGCAGACAAGGCTCAGCTCCCTGGGGCTGGAGCAGCCCCAGCTTCTACCAGAGATGGCTTTTCACCTCACCCAGAGGCGGGAGCACTGCACCACATCCTTGGCCTCCTCTATCTTCTCCCTCACGTAGGCCTCCCGCTGCAGCTGGTACTTGGTGGCCTCCAGTTTGGCAGCTGCGGTGGAAAGGTTGTGGCAGGGAAGGATGCCTGCGGCTGCGCCTGCATCCCCCCCCCTGCACCCTGACAGGCACTCACCCACCACTGGGTCCTCTGCGGGCAGGCTCAGGAAGTCCCTGCTGAGGTCATGCTTGGCTTGCTGCAAGGATGTTCATCGTCAC